TCATGGCCCTCCACATTTTCCTGCCCCTTGTAGCTTGTCTTTTTACTCCCAAACCCTGTTTTGCCACCCATTTGCTCAAGCCCATCAAGTATGTTGCTGCTTTCCTCTGTCCCTCTTTCCCTCAATCTGTCCTGTGAGTATCAGATTTTCCAGTCCCTCCTTCCTCATTATGTGACCCAGAAATTTCAACTGCTTCTTTTTGATGTTAAGTATAAGTTTCCTTTTTGTTTACATTCTCTCCAAAACCTTGTTGCTGCTCACTGGTTTGGCCCATGGTATCCTCAGAATCTTTCTGTAGAACCACATTTCTGTTGCTTCAAGTCTCTTCCTCATCTTTGAAGAGATTGTCTAGCATTCACTGCCATACAGGAGGACAGATATCATGTAACAGTTCAGTACTCTTTTCTTTGTTTTCAATGAAATTTTTTTGTCTCTTAATACTCTGCTTAGCTTTTGGAATGCTTCTTTGGTTATCGCAATATGTTTTTAGATCTCAGTGTCACACTTTCCGTTCTCTGTTAGAACACTTGCCAGATATTTAAATTTCTGTACCTGCTTGATTTTAGTATCTCTGACCTGTAATCTGAATTTTGGGCTCATCCTTTTGATGATAACTGGGCATTCTGTCTTTTTATAGTTTATGCTTCGTCCTTCTTGCTCTCCTATGCTACCTTCTGTAGGAGGTTTTGTAGTTTCTTTTCCGTGTCTTCTATCAGCATTGTGACATCTGCAAATCTTTTATTGTTAAAATTGTCGCTGCCAATAATGAGTCTTGGTAGGACTTATAATTCTCTCAGAATTTCCCGGCTGTTTAAGTTGAATAAATCTGGTGAGAAACTACAAGTTCCAAAAACGCTGCTCACAAGGTGAAACCTATTTTTGCTCAGTGAATGAAGGAAACGTCTAATATTACTATTAACATTAGTGATGAAGAGAACAGATGCTATACTTTGATCCCAGCCCGATGGCCATGGGGTAAAGAAAAGTGTATCTCAAGTAGCATCGACTGCTCCGTCAATGAATACCAAATGTTTTCACATAAGTAAATGACTACTATTATGATACATGTACTTGACATACTATACTTACAAATAACTGAACAGAGTGAATAAAAAGAAACTTTATACTACCAATTTTGGATGTGTGGGTGGTTGAATGGTTAGTAGCATGGTAGACAAAATTGGCAAACTGAGTTCAAACTCTGCTTAGAACAGTTTGCATTCATTTCTTTTTTTTTTTTTTAAAAAATCATTTCATCCCAAGCAAGACAATAAAGCCACTAGAATTTACTGAGGGGTTACTGAGTGTTAGAGAATATGAGAAAAACTACTGCTAAGGAGAGAAGAAATAAAAGAACTAGAATTAAGATGACAGGAGATAATGATTGACACGGCATTTACATTTTTGAAGATCAAAATTGACTAAGAAGCCAGAAGAGAGTGCCACAAGTGAGAAGTGTGATAGAAGAAACATTTAGCATAGAACTTATGGTTACATCTAGCCATTTCAACTGTAAAATGGTGAGAACTTGCTACCAATTTAGTACTGCACTTAAATTCATAAAGCCTAGGTACCATAGAGGGAAGTTCATCAGAACAATTAACATGAAAGTATTTGTAGAAATGGCACAAGGAAGAATGGTGATGGAAAAGGGACGGAAACTAAGATGCCAGGTCAGGACCAATAACATTGTAGATTCTTACATGCTAATACCTTTAGGAAAACTATTAATCCACTTCTTTCACCAACTATAGATAAATAATAAGGAAGTTGGGGGGGTTAAACAGTCCGACAGGTGTTGGGCTAGTAATCAAGTTTTGTAAAAAATTTACATACTACTGAAACAACAGCATCATTACTAGATATGGTTGTGGCCTGATGCTCCACAAGGAATCTATAGGAACAAGAAAAAAACAAAAGACCCCCCCCAGCACCTTCAATAAAAAAAAACAATATCAGTATACTTTTCTAAAGTGTCCTCCATTTGTTTCTACCAGAGAGAGTAGGTTTCATTAAAATTGTAGACCTATACTAATTGATCCACCAGCCCTTTCCTACTGGTGGCATTAGTAGGAAACAATAACAAACTACTATAAATAGACTTGTGAGTTGCCAGGCAAGTTCAAACACAACTGTAATTAGTGTTTCATTCATCAGCCTGTGCCTGACGACTTTGGAAAACCGTGAAAATTTAAGTTGCACTACAAATGTAGGTATATGTATATTTATTAATATACACTTTTCAGCTCTGTCTAACTACATTGAGTACTATTTTGTTTGCACCTTATATTAAAATAAGTAAATATTTATTCATTTATCTGTTTATACACACATATACAGTTGCTAATATCTAATTATTTGGATTATATTCACACTTATATAAGATATATTTATGTAGCAAGTATCAATCCAAACAAGTTTGATTAAATGCAATTGAAAAGGTCTGTTTGTTTAGTTCATTTATTGTGTTTTCCAAACTTAATGGAATATTGCCTACCATGCAGAGATCATGGTTCTTGATAATGGCTGTGAAGGTAATTGAAGAAAACAGCAGGACAAACATGAACTTTGGACCTTTTACACACAATTTCGATCCTAATATTCACCATCTTATTCAAAAATTGGAAAATATACTAACAATAAAACAGACAGACTAACCTTAAATTGTTTAATTTTATTTGAAACAGTCAATTGCATTTAATCAAACTTGTTTGAATAAATACACACACACACACACACACACACACACACACACACACACACACACACACACACACACACACACACACATATATATATATATTATAATTGTTTTTTAAAAATATATAATCATTGCAACACCGAAATTTCCATATTTCAGAACTGAAACTTCAATTTAAATTCAATCATACAAATTAAACTTAAAATACAAAGTTCCATTCCATTATCAAGTGATGCTAAGAATAACTTTTTAAAAACTGATTTACTTAATTTATAAGTCCAGAGGAATTTGATATCTTGAGATGTTGGGGTCAAAGAAAATTCTATCTTTTTTATTTTAGGGATATTAAGATTTAAATGTATTGTAGCTATCAAGTCAGTCAAGTCAAGGAGGGGGGTGCTGGGGTATCTGTCTATTGATACAAACTTCCTTTTACCAAGTAGAAATTTGTGGTAGCGTCTGTTCCAAGACATCGTCTGGGTTTCGATAGCAATACATTTGGCATTTTTATTTTTTATTTTTTATTTACTTTTTATTTTTATAAATTTTAATTAGGATTTTTTCAAAAAGGAATTCAAATATTATTTAGTCACATTTTTAATATTTATATTTGTATCAGCTTAAGATATATTTAATTTATTTACTAATTGAGTACAAATATGTTATATGTGAAAAATATAGTTTTAGGGTATGCTATATTTATGGCTCTTTAAGTTATAATATTTATGCATATTTAAGTGCTCAATGACAGTCATATAGCATGTGTAAATATAAAAGTGGACACTGAGGTCAGTACCGAGTGGCAACAGTCTGTTTCATGCTTGGACACAATCTTCATGGTTTGAAGATTGCATTCAAGCATGAAATTGACTGTTATAAATCAATATTAACCTCAGTGTTCATTTTTGTGTATGTGTGTGTGTGTGCATCTATCTCTCTCTCTCTCTCTATATATATATATATATATAAATGCATTTTGGAAAACAAAAGTTAAGAAGAATTTTAAATATATATATGTATATGTATATATATGTATATATATATATATATATATATATATATATATATATATATATATATATAGATTGTGTCTAGCATGAAACAGTCTGTCAGCTCTGAGTGTTGACTTCAAGGTTCACTTTTATATTTATATTTGCATACACTCTATCTCTGATATTAAGCACTTTATTCCATAAATATACCACATTTTAAAACTATATTTTTTATATATATATATATATATATATATATATATATATATATATGTATGCATAAATAAATAAATAGATGCATTTTGGAAAACATGTTTAGAGTTAAGAAGAATTTTAAATATAACTCAATGGAAAAACATAAATGCCACAATACATTGGTTTAATAAAACTGAAAATAAAAAGAAATATGGTTTTATATATTTTGATATTATGGACTCCGTCTAGAAAATATATTTTAAATGAAGCCTTAAATTTTGCAAAACAATATATGAATATTAAATATGATGATGATATACATATTGTAAAACATAGAATATCTATATTACTTTAGAATAGTGGTGTATGGATAAAAAGAGATAAAAATCACAACTTTAATATATATATATATATATATATATATATATATATATGATTAACGTGAGTCAAATTTGTCACTTAGTTGATTGATGTTACATTTAAACTAAGTGACAAATTTTACTTATATTAATATTATTTTACTTATTATTTTACTTATATTAATATTAATTTTACTTATATTAATATTATAATAATTATATTAATATATTAATTTTATTATTTTTACTTATATATATTTTATATATATATATATATATATATATATATATATATATATATATATATATATATATATGCATTTTTTACATAGAAGACAATATATAACTGGCTTTATATATTGGTGATTATGAAAAAAATAAATAAAAAGATGCTTATTCAATCAAACTTTGTGGTCTCTATATAATGATGTGTTATTGTATTTTGTGTAGGTGAGCAAGTGCTGAAAATTTGATCTTTGGTTCGTTGTTTTTGTTTAGTGGCATATCAACCTCTATGGGTTATCTAATGCTGAAATCTAAATATTTTGCATGCAATTTTATTTTATTGTTGGGGGATAATAATGATTTACTGATAAAAGTTTTACTAATTAACCCATAGTTGTTGGGAAGAAGAGGTGGATTCATAGGGTATTTGTGTGTAAGGGAAGAATAATGAACCTAACTGGAATCTGAACTCAGTTCTCCAGTTAACAATTCTCAGCCACTATCCATTACACCACTTGCACATCCAAGCTTACAGCACCTGGTATTCCCAAGCAGTCACCTATCTAGGTACTGACCTGGCTTGGTGTGGCTTAACTTCGGTGATTGTATAGGAACTGGCATTTCAACATGATCTAGCTGAAAAACTTTAAATTTCTGTACCAGGACAAGTGAACCAGAGTGCATGACATTTTTCACACTACCCAAGCTGATCTGATGTGGCTGTAAGCCTTGAAAAGTTGACTTGCATAGCTATGGATTGGGATGAACTGTGAGGTGCCGTAGTTGATGACCATAAATTTTCAAATGAAACAAAGGATAAATAAACAAAACTGAATTAGTAAGTCCATAGTCTGCCATGTAGTTATTAATTGAATTTTGGTCTGAAATTTTCCCTGTATTATTTTCAATCTGTATAGTTAATATTTACCACAGAATTAAGTGCATTGGTAAAAGAAGGAGATTATGCTGAAAAATAACTGTTTGTTGTATAATAAAAAATGTTTTTTTCATCATTAAGCTATAGGTTTAAGATAATATCTATGTCAACAAGATAAAGATCAGGAACACAGATCCAAAATGTTTATATATTTTTTTTTTAAGCATTTCACCCCAAGCAAGGTGGGAAGCCACTAGGATGCAAAGGGGTTACAGAAGATTTAGAGCAAGATCAGATAGAAGTGATAGAGAAAAGGATGAGAAGAATAGATCAAGGAAACTGATGTTGATTGACATTACATTTGTTGGAGATTATAGCTCTCAGGAAAACTGGAATAGAGAAGGGAGTTCCACAGGCAAGAGGTGCGAGACATGAAGCTATTGGAATAGAAGAGAGGGCTACATTTAGTAGTTTCGACAGTGAAAGGGTGAGAGCGGGATGCCAGCCTCATAGGGCGCTTGAACTCATGAAGTCTGGGAACCAGCGAATGCAACTCCTCGAAGCAATTGCCATGAAAGTATTTGTAAAAAAGACAGAGAGAGGCGACGGTGCATCTGTGAGAGAGTGACTGTAGATGAGATGCCAGAACAGGGCCAATTATATTGCATATCCACCTCTGGAGCTTATCAAGAACTTCGAGGCAAACAGAAGGGGCTCCAGACCATATATGGCAGCAATACTCCATGCAAGGGCGAATTGTTGATTTGTAGATCTGGAGGATTGATGTTTGAAATTTGTATGTGTTGCATGCATGTAAGTCCTCTAGCCTCCCCTGTGAAGTACAGAGTCATGGTCCATACTAGGTGCTGTTATGGTTTCTGTAACAAATAAGTTTTGCAATCTGGAGTTGCTAGTCTCATGCCCAACTGGTTTTGAATTCAGAGTTGTCCTCCATGACTGGTTACCAACCAAAACTAGACAGCCCAGTTTGCCTTGCTATTAACCCCTTGTTGGGAGAGAGAAGAGATAGGTCTACACTTTTCCAAGGGTATTTGTGGGAAAGCAAATGCAATGGCCTCAGTTTGGATTTGAACTCTGCATGCCAATCACATTATCTATGCTGATAACTACTACACTACATATAAATCTTGTGTTTCACTTTACAATGGTGAAAACATTAATCTTTCCAGTTCTATATTGTAACATGATATGGCGGATGTCAGTGTGCTGATGGCAGATACAGAAAGGAAACTGCATTACCTCTTAGACATGGTAGTAAAGGAAAGCGAGAAGAAAAGACAGACAATTGATTGTAAGAAGACATGGTTGCCAGCCAGAGAAACAAACCAAGATATAAGTTGTGAATTGTTTATGTCAAAATCAACCAAGTTCAGAAGTTCAAATATCAGGAAAGTTTTTTAACAGAAAATGTGACATTGATATCAGAAGGTGAATTGAAATACCAAAAGATACCTGCCAAAAACTACACAAAGTATTAAGAAACAGGAAAATAATAGAGGGTTAAACTGATATGCAACATCAATTATTCTATATGGTAGTGAATGCTAGACAGTTTCTTCATGGATGAAGAGGGGGGTGTTCAGGTAACAGAAATGTGGTCCTACTGAAAGATACTGAGAATAACAAAGACGGAGCATGTAAGCAACAAGGAAGTTTTAGGGAAAATGGAAACAAAAAGGACACTTATACTTAGAATCAGAAAGAGACAGTTGAAATTTCTAGGACACATGATGGGGAAAAAGGGATTAGAGAATTTGACACACACAAAACATCATAAAGGCAAGAGGGACAGAAAGAAACTTAACTGAAGAGTTTGTGCAAATGGGATAGTAAAAGGACAAGTATTATTGGATAGAGCCATGAATGTTCTTTGGATTTTATCAAGAATCTCAAAATATATAGCAGGAGCACCGGACCATATGTGGTAACAATATTCATATTAAGAATGAATGGTAGACTTATAAATATGTAAGATAGATTCAGGGCAGAAATGAACTAACCAAATTAATATAAGAGACCTTTTGAGTACTGGCTTATTACTTTACCACTGAACCATGCATGCAGGTACCAGCATTAAAATCAAAAATAAAATCCCAAAGGGACAAAATATATAGAAGAAAAACAAGTATTTTTGAATGCTAATTTTCTAGGTAGGTAGAGTCTTCACATTTGGCATAACACAATCTTCCTTGCTTCAAAATGTTTTATAAAAGACTAAGCTTAATTTAGTGATTTTTTTTAATCATATCACCCCATGCAGGGCGGTAAAGCCACTATGATACAGGAAGTTACTGTGTGTGAAAGAATAAGAGAAAAGAGAAACATTATTAAGAAGCAAGAACAATAGAAGAGTAATCAAGAAGCCAGTTGATAATGATTGCATTTAAATTTGTGAAGATCAAAGTTGGCTGGAAAGCATAGAGCTGGAAGAGAGTTCCATAAGGGAGAAGTGCAACAGAAGAAACTGTTAGCATAAAACTTATGGTTACATCTGGTAGTTTCAACTGTAAAATGATGAGACCTAACCACCAATCTAGTACTGCACTTAAATTCATACAGTCTAGGTATCATAGTGAAGAGTTTATCCAAACAGTTACTATGAAAGTATTTATAGAAAAGATACAGGGAATCTACATTACGACAGTGGGACTGAAGCTGAGATTCCAGGCAAGGACCAATAATATTGCTGATTCTTCTTTGGATTTTATCAAGAATCCCTAAATATATAGCAGGAGTATTGGACCATATATGGTGGCAGTATTCAAAGCAAAGGCAAATTATGATAATAATAAACAATAATAATTATAAAAAAATATAATATTATATAATAATAATAATGATTGTAAAACTCTTGTAACCTAGGAAGGGTTACTGAATGAGGAATAACCAAAACAGAGGTTGGAAATGGAATGTTAACCATTATAACATCAACAAAATACAATACTCGCTAGTGGCATGAAGTAGGTAAACCACTGCTAGTGATGGACTACTTAGCATATTACCCCCACTTACAATAGTGTCCAACATATTTATGAGGATTGGGACATACGCATTATTGTTCATTGGTATGGTATATAACAAAAACAAAGATTAGAATTTGTGAGAAATTTGAAGAACTGTTGCAGGTAACAAAATTTGGTAATTAGTAAAATATAATTTCTATCTGAATTTCTGGGATGAGGAGTTATTGTTATTTACATGTGGACTAATCTCTTCAACTTTGTTGCTATATTTGTATCTTTTTCAGATATCTGTTGATCTGGGTACCCTTCGGATAATTTCAAACTGAACTCTTTATTTAATCTATGTAGATAAATTGTTCTTGTAGTGCTATACATGTTTAGGGATATTGTCTTGTTCTTTTTACTACAATAATTATTGCTCACTCTGTTTCTACTGAGTGTGAATCTATATTACTGTTATGGTCCAAGTTCCTTGTGCCACGGTTATGGTCCAAGGTTAGAACCAATGAAAAGAATAACAAACACAGGTATGGAATACAAAGATATATTACAACAGAAATATAATACAAAGTAGTAGAAGTATTAGTAATGACTATCAAATTTGGTTAGAGTGAACTATGTTGTCTCGACAAGTATCACTATTCCAATGTCCTTACAATATGCTCTCAATTATCTCTCATCGTCTTACAATATATGCTTATACCTCTTGAGAGGTGCAGTATTTATAATGTCAGGAATAGTCCATTATTATTATGGGTAAGTTCCCATAACAACTACCCAGCCCAGGGTTGAATTAACAATTACTATGCCCCAAATTCAAACACTTGAAGAAGGCTGTAGTGCACAATAACCAAAACATTGGGATAGTAACAACAAAGATGAGGCTGTTTGTCTGAAGTAAATAATGTAAATAGTAAAGTAATTTATGAAGAAAAACTTTATATTTTGCTAGTAACCTAATTTTTGCTACTTATGATAGTTATTCGACTTCCTTACAAATTTTAATTTTTGTCTGAATTTTTGAGGAATTATCATTGTGATACACTGATTTGTTTGGATTTGGTTGTTATCCTCCAAGCATTTTGGCCATTGGCCCTACAACTTTCTTCAGGTGTATTTTTATCATCCTTCTACAGAACCACATCTCTGTTGCCTTAAGTCTCCTCTACATCTGTGAGGAAATTGTCCAGCATTCACTGTCCTATAGGAGGATTGATATTATATAGCCATTCAGCACTCTTTTCATTATTTCTAGTGAAATTCTCTGATCTCTTTGTTTTTCTTTTTGGAAGACATTGTTTGCTATTCCAATGCACCTTTAGACTTCTGTTGATTGATTGATTCATTTTTTTACGGCTTATCAACCCTTTGCAGGCTATTTAAAGCCAGAAAATATTTTTAGATTGTAAGAATTTTTTTGGAAATAATAATGGTTTGGTGATACAAGTCTTATTAATTAACCCATATCTGGGGGAGAAGAGATGGATTTGTACCTTTCTCAAGTGTATTTGCATGTAAGTGAATATGGCGAGTTCTATGAATAAAGTATCCATGGAAATTCCCCTATCACAATGCTAAATATTTAAGGTTAACAACTTTAACAAAATATTGCAATAGCAATCATAAATATGAATGCTGGTTGTTATTTTAAGAAGTGGGTACAAATGAAAAGATTTGAAATTGACAACTTTTTGTCCATTTCATGGAAAAAGATGTCAAACTCTTCTATCTTCCCTTCTTCCATTCTCATTGAAACCAAGTAGCG